TACAGGGTCAACTGGTCTAAGAGTGAATTAATGCCTATAAAGGTCAGAGATATTTCCGCTCTCCAAACCTTCCCATTTAAAATAACGCAATATAAACTTACATATTTAGGAATTGAGGTCACAAAAGATTTTCAGTCATTATTTAAAGCTAATTTCCCCCCTTTAGTGACTAAACTGCAAAATAATATTCAGTTCTGGAGATCCCTGCCTATTTCTTTAATAGGAAGGGTTAATATTATTAAAATGATCTTTCTCCCACAAATTCTTTATCTTTTTCAAAACATCCCAATATTTTTACCAAAGCTTTTTTTTAAACAACTAGATTCCATTATTATACCCCTTTTGTGGTATTACAAAGCCCATAGAATAAGTTAAGCACACCTTTGTAAATCAAACATCCCAATATTTTTACCAAAGATTTTTTTTAAACAACTAGATTCCATTATTATACCCTTTTTGTGGGATTATAAAGCCCATAGAATAAGTAAAGCACACCTTTGTAAATCTAAAGCTGTCGGTGGAATGGCACTTCCAAATTTTTCCCTTTACTACTATGCTTGTGCTCTTCAGACCATCATAATGTGGCTAGACCATACGGTAGCACACTCAACTTGGATCCAAATGGAAAGAGAGGCATGTAGATCATATGATATTGGTGCAGTCATACTGTCTCCTATAAAGATAGACAAGTCAGTATATAGCCATAACTGTATAATTCATAGTACAATTCGTATTTGGAAGCAGATCAAATCAAAATTTGCAATAAAGCCATTGTCTTTCCTTTTACCAATCAGCGGGAACCCTTCATTTATCCCTTCTACTATGGATGCTGCTTTTACAAAATGGAGGGACTTAGGTCTTCAGACTATTGGAAACCTATTCATAAAAGGCACTTTGGCCTCCTTTAGACAGCTACAGGATCAATATGGTTTGCATGCAAGTAACTTTCTATTCAAAATGTACACTCAAGCATATAATGTTGTCAGGTTACCTCCCACTTTAAATGAAGCCATCATAACAGTCTTACCTAAGAAAGGGAAGGATCCAGTAGAAGTAAGTAGCTATAGGCCAATATCACTTTTGCCATGTGACCAAAAAATCCTGGCTAAGGCTTTATCTATCAGACTTAGTTCTGTAATGGACAAACTTATTCATCCCGATCAGACAGGGTTTATTCCTAATAGGCACTCGTTTTCAAATCTCAGACGTCTTTTCAATATAATTTACTCTCAAAACACACACATAGATGATCTGGTCATTGTTTCTCTTGATGCAGAGAAAGCTTTTGACCAGTTAGAATGGTCTTATCTTTTCGCAGCCCTAAGAAAATTTGAAATTGGCGATAATTTTGAAAAGTGGATAAGAATTCTCTATCACAAGCCATGTACAAGGATTCTTACTAATATAATTCTTTCTCTTCCTTTCTGTCTATATACAGGTTCTAGACAGGGCTGCTCACTATCCCCTCTACTCTTCGCCCTGGCCCTTGAACCCCTTGCACAGTCTATTCGCTCTAACCCCAATATACATGGATATAACACAAAGAACACAGTAAGCAAAATATCATTATATGCTGATGATATCCTGTTATATATCACTAAACCTCAGTCTACTATTTCAATAATCTTAGAAACGGTCTGTCATTACGGTACATTTTCAGGTTACAGGGTCAACTAGAGTGAATTAATACCTATAAAAGGTCAGAGATATTTCCGCTCTCCAAACCTTCCCATTTAAAATAGCGCAATATAAACTTACATATTTAGGAATTTTCAGTCATTATTTAAAGCTAATTTCCCCCCTCTAGTGACTAAACTGCAAAATAATATTCAGTTCTGGAGATCCCTACCTATTTCTTTAATAGGAAGGGTTAATATTATTAAAATGATCTTTCTCCCACAAATTCTTTATCTTTTTCAAAACATCCCAATATTTTTACCAAAGATTTTTTTTTAACTAGATTCCATTATTCCATCCCTTTTTGTGGGATTACAAAGCCCATAGAATAAGTAAAGTACACCTTTGTAAATCTAAAACTGTTGGTGGAATGGCACTTCCCAATTTTTCCCTTTACTACTATGCTTGTGCTCTTCAGACTATCATAATGTGGCTAGACCATACTGTAGCACACTCAACTTGGATCCAAATAGAAAGAGAGGTATGTAGACCATATGATATTGGTACAGTCATACTGTCTCCTATAAAGATAGATAAGTCAGTATATAGCCATAACTGTATAATTCATAGTACAATTCGTATTTGGAAGCAGATCAAATCAAAATCTGAAATAAAGCCATGGTCTTTCCTTTTACCAATCAGCGGGAACTATGGATGCTGCTTTTACAAAATGGAGGGACTTAGGTCTTCAGACTATTGGAAACCTATTCATAGATGGCACTTTTGCCTCCTTTAGACAGCTACAGGATCAATATGGTTTGCATGCAAGTAACTTTTTTAGATATTTGCAGATTAGGGATTACGTAAGAAAGTACATACCCTGTTTTAACGAGGCTACTCCTGCTAGTTTGGATGATCTCTTGGGGCTTGGAGGTGGGGTCAGTCATCTGATATCTTTACTGTACAACTCATTGTTGTCAAAGAACTTACCTTCTACAGAGAGTTTAAAATTGCAGTGGGAGCAAGAATTGGGGGAGGAGATATGTTCAGAATCCTGGGCTGATGCACTAGAGAATATTCATACATGCTCTGTCAACTCTAGGCATTGCCTTATACAATTTAAGATTATCCATCGACTCCATTATACTAAATCAAAATTACATAGACTTTTTCCAGATGTCTCCCCATATTGTGACAAATGTCAGACTGATATAGCTACTCCCTT